GTGGGAGAAAGATCTGGTGATCTGCTTCCATGAAGATTACGGCCTAGAAAACCTGACAGGCCAGCTCTGCTGTGTCCCATGGGGTCACCAGGGGTCGAACCGACCAGCAGCGCACAGCAGTGGTGCAGACGCAGGAAAAGTTAGCACGGGGAAGTCAGTTTTGCAACACTAGGTCCTGGGAGTATTTGGAGGAAGGGGCTGCACCTGTGCTCATCTTGCACCTTCCAGTTCTCAGAAGGGAAGGCAGGAAGGTGGGAGAAAGGCTTTGCAGAACAAGCTGTGAGAGCAGAATGAAGTCAGGTTGGTTGTGGATACATTCTGGCAGGGAGTCTCCATCACAGCCAGACCTGGAGTTCTCACCCCGGCCGAGCATGACAATCAGCAGGGCAGCATTCCAAAGCACCCCGATACCAAGTTCCACCTCCCGAATCTGACTCTCTGGCAGGTAGGGCCCAAGCATTTGTGTTTTTAAAACACTCTTGAGCCTCTTGAGCTGATATTAGTTTCTGCCAGGGCTGAGGATCCATCACCAAACACTGGTGATGGTACTGAGATGGTAGACCTCCCAGTAATAAAAGGAGAGGGGTTAGCTTGCTTATGCAAAGTCTCAAGGAATCAGTAAGTAGAGTGCATTCAGAATAGTAAAGAGGACGTGCTGGAATATCCCAGAACAGCCTCCACCCCCGCCCAACCCCTCCCTCAAAAGGGCCACCAGAGCCAGGTGCTGGTCGTCCCAACCTGTGAGAGGTATTTATACAGCTGGGGGTCTCGCTCAAGTCCCAGGTAAGCAAGGAGCTCCTCTTCACCCCCCTCGAGCAGCTGGTAGAAGATGTGGAAGTTTCGCTCACCCTGGTTTTGATGGACGACTCGAGACTTTTCTATCAAGTAGCTGATGATATGCCCACCGACAGGAATGCCCTTCAAAACAGAATGAAAATGCAGCGGCAGCGGCAGTCAAGCCAGCCTCCTCCTGGTGTCTTCTGATGAAAGAAAGTTCTTAATTTTAATCAAGTCCAATCTTTGAATCTTCTATGATTGGTGCTTTCTGGGTTCTGTTTAGAAAGATCCTTGCCCACCCCAGGCCTCAAAAATGTTTTTGTCTAGAAGCATGAATGTTTTAGCTTTCACATTTAGAATTATAATCTATCACAAATTATTTTTTGTGTATGGAGTGAGGTAGGGGTCAAAAGTCTTTTTATCTATATGGATATCCACTTGATCAGCACCATTTATTACAAAGGAGTTCTGGTGGCGTAGTGCCTAAAGCACTTGACTGCTAACCAGAAGGCTGGTGGTTCAAACCCACCAGCCACTCCTTAGAAGGAAGGTTGGGTAATCCACTTCCATAATGATATGCCTCAGAAACCCAAGGAGGGGTCACTATGAGTCGGATCCCACTCTATGGCAGTGAGTATTTATCACAAAAACAATCCTAACCCTACCAAATCAAAGTGATATTTTTGTTATAAATCATATGAACATATATGTGTGAGTCTCTCTAGACTCTGTTCTGGTCCATTGGCCTTTTTATCTATCAATAAACAGAACAAGTGTGTCAATTTCATACTTGTATCTTAATTATTATTCCCAATAAAGGATTTGTATTCCAGAACATTTGTAGAATTATTGCAAATCAGTTAGGAAAAAACCCAGACAACCTAATTAAAAATGGATGAAAGACTTGAATATGTAAGGGGATTTTTAACTGGCCCATAAGCAAAATTTCACTAATTATGAGGGTGCGACAAATTTAAATCACAATGAAAAACCACTATACCCCATCAGCATGTTTAAAACTAAAAGGGCTGACAATACCAAATGTTGGCAAGGCTGTGGAGCAACTGCAACTCTCGTTAATTATTATAACATTGATGGTGAGAACCTAGCAATCTATTTCCAGGTATATATTCAACTTAAATGAGTGCTTATATCGCCTAAAAGACATGTGCAAGAATGTTCATAGCACTGTCTGTAATAGCCCCAAATTAAAAATCACCATCAACAGGAGAATGGATACATTGTGACATACTCACATGGTTAGAAAATGAACAACTGCTACATGTAACAACATGGAGCAACTCACAGACATAACATTGCTTGAAAGAAGCCAGACAAAATAATACATACTGTATAATTCCATTGATAGGAACTTCAAGAACCAGCAAAAATAATCTATATTATAGAGATCAGACCAGTGGTCATCTTTGGGAAGGGGGACACCACCAGGGAAGGTCAGGACAGCTTTCTGAGTTCTAGACTTTTTTTTGTATCTTTATCTAAGTGGTAGTCACACGGGAGAATACATATGTAAAAACTCATTCAGCTGTACTTTTTCAGCATGTGTTGAACTTCTAAAAAAAAGTTTTAAAACATACATACTCAACCACTGCCATCAAGTCAATCCTGACACGTAGCTATTATATTTTTTTCAAAGTCCACCAGAGGGACTGGCATTAGCCTTTGGTTGCAACATCAACACTCATCTAGTTCTCCGGTCCACAGTGTCACCATGCAACTTGGAAGTGTGTGTCCTTGAGAAATGTGTCGCTCTTCCTCACTTACTAAGTCCCATTTACATTCTGTCTGGCCCACCACACACACTTGTTCCCTGTTGTGACCGTTTTCACACTCCAGCAGCAGAGGTCAAGCTGTGACAGAGACTGTATGGCCCATGAAGCCTAAAATCTTTCCTATCTGCCCTTTGATGGAAAGCGTACTGACCTCTGTCACATAAGAACGCTTGCCTAAATAGCATATTGTTAGCTTGTCTTTGAGCTTTATAAAAATTGCGTCACACTGATGCACAGTACATGCCTAAGGCTGAGTCCAACGTCAGGGTGTCAGCAGCGCCAGGCTCCCTTCCAAGCCTCCAGGAGCATCATCTCCCCGCTGTCTGGCAGCCCCAGCAATCCCTGCTGCCATCCCCTCTGTGTCTGTGTCTCTTCTCCCATTTTTCAAGGACACCAGTCATACTGGAGTAGGTAGGAGCCATCCTACTCCAGTACGACCTCATGTTAACGGGTAAGATCTTCAAAGACCTTATCTCCAATATGGGTCAGATTGACAGGTACTAGGGAGTTAGGACTTCAGCATACGTTTTGGTGGACAAAACATGGCCCCTAACACTGTCCATGTTATGTGTGTCTGCAGCTCGTTAGCTCTCAGTGTTGTATAATACATACCCCACTGTGTGAACACATCACAATTTAACTAGCTGTTAGCTCTGGATGGACATTCCGTCCTTTCTATACGTGTTGGTGGTCCCCACTGCTCTCTCCATGAGCAGTGCTGCTGCTCTCTTGTGGACATGTTGTGCACGTTTCCAGCTCACATCTCTAGGGACCTCTTTGGGAGTCGAACGACTGCACCCCAGACTACATGTCAACTCCATAAGGTAATATATTGTTTTCCAAAGGCGTTGCACCTGTTCACACCCTGTCAACAATGTGTAAGAGTTCCTAACGATCCATATCTTTACTAACACCTGCTATCATCAGCCTTCCTGATGTTGCCCCTGCAGAGGGCAGACAGGTCCTCAGTGGATCCGTGGTAGAATTCTCGCCTTCCACTCAGGAGACCTGAGTTTGAGTCCTGCCTAATGTACCTCACAAGCAGCCACCGTCTATCTGATGGTAATGGCTTGCATATTGCTATGAGGCTGAACAGGTTTCAGTGGAGCTTCCAGACTAGGAAGAAAGTCCTGTCAATCAACTGCTGAAAACAGGCTGATGAGAACCCTGTGATCACAGTGGAGCACTGTCCACTGTGCGGGCGATCACGGGGATGGCATGGGACTGGGTAGCCATTTGTTCCATTGTGCATGGGTTGCCATGAATTGCGAGCCAACTTGAAGGCAGTCAACAACAACAACAAAAACAAAGGGTACAGAAAGGTATCTCACTGTGGTTTCAATATGTATTTCCTAAAACTGGTACTAACTCTTGATAGTTCACTCGAGCCAAAAAATCCCTGTTGTCCCTGATACTCCCTTGAGTTGGGTTTCCATCTCTGGTAAATTTAGAGGTCACCAGTACGAGGAGCATCAGCATACCTTGAAGTCAAACTGTATGTCCATGTATTTTCCAAATCTGCTGGAGTTGTCATTCCGGAGTGTTTTGGCATTTCCAAAAGCCTTGAAATACAAAATAGAGGGAGAAGGTTTGGCTGAACCAAATTGGCATTCATTGTCGTTTAAACTCCCCATGCTTGTCAAATTCCTTATCCTAAATAACATGCTCATGGGAATGGAGGAAGAAGGGTGAGCAAGGGGTGAAAGCCAAACTCTCTTTTACAGAGGAGACTCACTAGTCCACTAAGCACAGAAGACTCCAGGCCAAATACTGGGCCTGGACTCCAGGAAAACGTCTTGTCTAAAGAACCCAGTCTACTGGTACAGTGGATAAGATATTTGGCTACTAATCAAGAGGTCAGCAGTTTGAACCCACCAGCTGCTCTGCCAGAGAAAGGTGAGGCAGTCTGCTGTGGTAAAGATTTACAGTCTTGGAAACCTTATGGGGGTTGCTGTGAGTCAGAATCAACTCAATGGTAGTAGGTTTGTTTTTTGCTTTTTAAGAACCCAGTTTAGTCATGTATTAGCAATGGCCTAAGGAGCGAGCAGTACACAGGACCCCAGGCTCTTGTTTCCCGAGAAGGCACAGTTGACAGGCGCCAACACCAGACCCCTCCCTTACATCAAAAAGGCATGTTGTGGAGCCTGAAGGGTCTTCTGGGCAAAGTCCTTCCCCCATAATCATCATCTTTTATAGAAAGGGCAACAAGAACATCAAAGGACATGACTTTTTCCAGATCAGCCAGCAAATCAGTTCATTGTAATCACAGAAAAGTAATCAAAATGACCTTAATTAATAATGTTAATAAATCTTAAAGTATTATGTTATTGTTTGCTACTTCTGCTGTGTGTCCATCTCATTTCATTCTCAAAACCTCCCTAAGAGGTAGGTATCATGAGTAGACCCAGTCCACCAATGGGGAAACAGGCTCTGAGAGGTAGGGTGGCCTCCTGAAGCTTGCTGGTATATGGCTGCGCTAGGATTAGAGTCAAAGTCACTGGACTTCAAGGTCATGCCCTTGACGATGACACCACCTGTGGGAGCCGTTTCCTTAACTCCCAGACAGTGGTGTGCCCATCTTGACTGACCTGCCCAATCAGAAGAGTCTTCATACGTAGTGACCTTGTTAGGATTCCCCTCTGATGGTCCTCCAAGACCGTAGATGAATGGCTTACCTCCAGCACTGGATTGGACAGCAGCAGTCTGTCGCGGGTGATCTGTAGGGACTCAGTCATTGGACAGGTCACTGCAAAATACTGGAGAATCTTCTTGGAGGCCTCCGTTTTCCCTGCCCCACTCTCCCCAGAGATGAGGATGAAGTGGTTATTTAGCTCCGAGCACATCATACGGTAAGCGTTGTCAGCTATAGCGTAGCTGCAGGAGTGGAATAGAAACAGAGTGACCTTAAAGCCACTTTTCTTGGCTCTGGCCCCCAGCAGAGCAGGACAAAGTGTCCTGCCTCCAGAAAGCCACACCTAGACTGTGGTGTGAGGACAGTGAGCTCAAACAGATCTCAGTCCTCAGCATGACCCACCCATTCATTCAGTGATCAAACAAAGTACACTACATGTCAAAACTCACATAAGAGACACACAAAAGGACACATATTATTGGATGATCCCCCTTACAAGAACTATGTACAACAGTAAAATGCAGAGCAACACAAGTTTATTAGTGGACTGGGGAAAGAGATCAAAATGGGGGAGTGTGGTAGTTATGTTTGTATGTCAACTTGGCTGGGCCTGGTTGAGTGGTTGGGCAGCTGGTGGTAGTTAATCCCCATGAGGAGACCGGCAATCAACTTTATGGCGGGATCTACCACAAGCAGCTGAGTAGCCTTTGGGATGTGGTCTGCTTCCTGTATTTAAGGAGAAGCCTTGGGAATGGTCTCTAGCCTATGGCACGCTTGGACCCTGCATGTAGCTGTGTCATTGTTCAGCAGCCTGCCATACTTGGGACTTATAATGGACTTAAGTTGATGGCCTGCTGTGTGGTTTGGTAACATCAGGACTGTGCCTTTTTACTTGTCAACCTTGGGGCTTCTCAGCCTCAGCAGCCAGCAGCTATCTGAGTGAAGAAACGCCTCTAGCTCCAATGGGCTGGGAGCAGGAGGCAGAGCTGGACCCCAATGTTGAGGGGCTTTCACCCACCCCTAGAGTGGCACTAGGTAGCCAGAACAGAGAGTTAGTGCTTAAGGAGGAACACTGCCAGCACCATGGTTAGCCCTTGGCTGTTAACCGAAAGGTTGGCAGTTCAAACCTACCCAACAGCTCCGTGAGAGAAAGACCTTATGATCTGCTTCCATGAAGACTGCAACCTAGAAAATTCATTGGGGTAGTTTACTCTGTCACATGGGGTCATGGTAAGCTGAAATCGACTCAATGGCACCTAACAACACAACAAGATTGCTTAAGGGGTGCTGAGTTTGTTTGGGGTGATGAAAAATTTTCAAAAATGGATATCACTGATAGTTGCACAGGAAGGTGAATGTAATGTAATTAACATCACTGAATTGTAAGTTTAAAAATGTTAGAACATTTAACAACTGATAGGAGCCATTGGTGGCATAGTGCTAAGGCATTTGACTGGACCCACCAGCCACTCCTCGGAAGGAAGGTTGGGCAATCTACTTTCGTAGTGATACCGCCTCGGAAATCCAAGGAGGGGTCGCTATGAGTCGGTCGACTCAATGGCAGTGAGTTTGGTTTTTGGTATTGGTGATGGTACCCACCATAATGGATGGAACTGGTATCACCGAATTGTACGTGTAACAAATGTTAGACATATATTATATATATATTTTACAATAAACAAAGAAAAGCAAATATCCTGTTGTATATGTTTTACTAGAATAAAAATTTAAAAAAACTCAAATAGTAGAGGTGTTCGGGTGAAACGTGGCCCATCATGGAAATATGTTTCAAAATTTACCAAATTTGATTTTTAAAATCTACCAACTATCTTATAAAAACAAGCCAGGTGCTAGATTACAGCCCTGAGACATTCTATTAATTGCAAGTGGCAATGACATCTTGTCTAATTACTAACTAACTCAGTAAATTCACAAAGATCTCATTTTCTCTTTGCCTCCAAATCTGGAGTACTGAGAATGTAGAAGCAGGAAACCAGAAGGATTCAGAATCTTCTGTAGGATCTTTAGGGAAAGAGGTAAATTATTCTAAGGGACTTGTCTCCAAGATCAAAAAGCAGCACGGTGGCAGTTGGGGAGTAAAACCTTATCACAATCCAAAACCTGAAAGCAGGCTATTTTAGAAATCACTGGTGGGGACAGAAAAGTTTATAAATGCCTTGGGAAGTGGAATCATTGAGTCACAAAGGAAATTTGGGGAGAACTTAAATATTACCCTGAAGTCAACCAGGGAGGAGAACTGGGAAATTCAGAAAAGCCTGAGTCACGTACAGACTAGGCAGAATTGACTCATCTTAAGGATCCTAATCCTGGGAGGACAGTGCCCACCAATGGACATTCTCTTTAGCGGCCATGATACTGGGGCACCAGTAGATGGCACTGTAACACCCCACTTCCCAGAGAAGATCCCTTTCTAGCCACACTCCGAGATCTCTCAGCGGTTATACAGAATTCTGCCTCTCACCCATATTTAAGCTGAGATTTGAGACTTGATAATTACCTGCTAGTTTTCTTCTGCTCTGAAAGACTTGTTTTACAAGACTGTAGCAGTTTAAATATTGAATAGAACCTAAGGAAGATGCAAAAAGGATTTGGGAGGAAGGAAAGGGGGAAGGAGGGAGGGAAGGATAAAGAGTGGGTGGGTGGGAGGGAGGAAGAGGGAAAGGGAGAGGGGGTTAAGGAGAAAAGAGAAGAGAAAGGAAGTAAAGAACCAGGGAAATATTCCTGTTGAGGACACTCTTAGTTATCTTGTGCTGCTATACACAAATACCACAAGGGGTGGCTTTAACAAACAGAAGTTTATTTTCTCACAGTTTAACCGAACCCAAAACCAAACTCACTCCCGGTCAAGTTGGACCTGACTCATAGCGACCCCTCAGCCTTCTGGTTAGCAATCAAATGCCTTAGGCACTATGCCGCCCGAGCTCCCTTGGCACAGTTGGGAGGCTCCAAGTCTGAATTCAGGGCGCTGGCTCCGGGGAAGGCGGTTTCTGTCTGTCAGCTCTGGAGGAGCTTCTGCTCCTGGGCGATCTTCACGTGGGTTGACACGTGGCTTCCCCCACCTCGGCTTCCTCCATCGGCTCCTCTGACGTCTTGTAAGAGATTCACCCAATACACACCCTACACTAATTCTGTCTCATAAGTAACAAAGACAATCCATTCTCACAAGGGATGACAACTACATGCCTAAAACAAAAAGACAAACCCATTCCCAAAGAGTCAATTCGGACTCATGGTGATCCACCAGGACAGAGCAGAACCGCCCCACAGGGTTTCCAGAACTGTAATCTTTACAGAAGCAGATAACCACACCTTTGTCCCACAGAGCAGCTAGTGGGTTCCAACCACCGACCTTTTGGGTAACAGCCGAGTACTTAACCACTGTGCCACCAGGCTAGGATTCAAAACATGTATTTTTGGGGGATAAGATCGAATCCATAACAATGACCCTGTGGATGCTACTTACACATGTGGTGGTCGTTCAAAGAAGTTGACCCCTTGATAAAGTTCCATTTGGCTCATGGTGTAGATTCCAAGTTCCTGGTATGGATTCACGGACACAAGCAGGGTCCCAATGTATGTCTAGAGGAATGGACCAAAGCACTAGTGAGAATTCCACCATACAAATGGTACAGCAGAAGACCATCACACACTCTGATCCACGTGTGTTCATTCAGTGCTGAGATGTAGCATGGTGGGGTATCTGCTATCATGGTCTAAGGACAGACAGCCAACCAAGGGATCAAGATCGCTTCAATCAGAGATATGTATTTAGAAAGATATAAATAATGCAATGAGAGACTGAATGAGTCAGGAAGATGGCCACCATGCTAGTAGGCTTAGAGAAGTCTTCTTTAAGAAGGCAGCATCTAACCTGAGATTTTGAGGAGGAGCCAGCTGTAAATAAAGATAGGTAGGAAGGATAATTCAGGCTGAAGGGATGAGTGTGGCAGGCTGGTAGCACTGGTGGTTAGTGTGGCTGTAGTCCAATGAGGAAGATGAGAGTGGGAAGAGATGATGTTGGAGGGGGTGGGGTTCAGATCACACGAGAATTGAGGTTTTATTAAAAATGCAGTGGATGATGAAGCAGTGATGCTCCTCCCCCACTGAAATGAAACACCTGCCCACAATGTTTATACATGAACAAAATACGCTTCTATAGAAAGTACAAAGTATTTGTTGTTGTTGTTGTTATGTGTCCTCGAGTTGGACCCGACTCATAGTGACCCCTCCTTGGGTTTCCAAGACAGTATCACTACGGAAGTAGATTGCCCTATCTTCCTTCCAAGGAGTGGCTGGTGGGTTTGAACCACCAGCCTTCTGGTTAGCAGTCAGATGCCTTAGACACAAAGTATTTAGGAAGATGTAAATAGGGTAATGAGAGATAGAATGAGTAAGGAACATGGCCACCATGCTTTTAAGAGTGAAGTGGGCATGATATAATTTCTAGTCCCCAAAGGGCTCTCTGGCTACAAGGTGAAAGCAGGAAGACTATAGATTAGCCATCTAACGTTGGGCAAATATTCCCACCATTGGGATGTATTTCCCTAGATTTCAGTGTTGTTGTTGTTGTTGTTGTTATTTGCCGTCGAGTTGGCCCCGACTCATAGCGACCCCTCCTTGGGTTTCCGAGGCAGTATCACTACGGAAGTAGGATTGCCCAACCTTCCTTCTGAGGAGATTTCAGTGTTAGATTCCATTAATGTTCAGAAGTTGTTCAATTACTCATATTTGTAAGACAGTCACTAGTGTAAGACTTCTTGGAAGGTGCTTATGAATAAATGGAGCTCCAAACTCTTACATAGAAAACATAAATGCTTAGGTTTCTTATGATCTAAATACATCTGTATTTAGCACCAGTCCTGGGTGGAGTAATGGCTATGCGCTCGACTACTGAAGCACTGAAAGGTTGCCAGTTCGAACCTACCCAGGGGCACCTTGGAAGACAGGTCTGGCGACCTGTTTCTGAAAGGCCACAGCCTTGAAAACCGCGTGAAGCAGTTCTCTGCACACACGGGGTCACCATGAGTCAGAATCCACTCAGTGGCAACCGTCAACAACAAATACATCCTTTGGTGTTTTCAGATTCTGGGTCTGATGTTACCATTTTCCATTACAGTCTCAAATGCTGGAGGGACCAAAGCCTACACTCAGATTCGCTAAAAACGTTCCAACTGATGTTTCTAATCTACTAGAGGAAATCCAAGAGAAAAGTGGAATAGAGAGCTGTATTTGGATTAAAAGAGCCCTGGTGGCCACAATGGTTAACCTCGCAGATGCTTACCTGAAGGTTGGCGGTTCAAGTCCACCCAGCTGCTCCATGGAAGAAAGACCTGGGGGGTTGCTCTCATCAAGATTTCAGCCTCGGAAACCCTATGGGGCACTTCTACTCTGTTCCACAGATCGCTGTGAGCTGGCACCAACTCACTGGCACAGAACGGCAACGTTTTGACTAAAATTCTGCATGGCTTCAGTCAATACAAATCTAATTTTCCAGGGTGGAATACAGTATCTGAAATCTCTCTGTTACGTCTGAAACACTGACTTTAGCCATGGCAATCTCATCACCCTACTTATATTTATCCACACCATGTCGTTCCCACACAACACCATGTCGTTCCCACACAACACCATGTCGTTCCCACACAATACTATGTTGTTCCCACATAAAATCGGTTTAATTTTTTTTTTCTATTTCCACCATTAAGAGTGCTATTTCTGAAAGTACTTAATACAGGAAATACTCTAAGGACCCCTTCCTTATGTCTCCTGTTAACCTGGTTTCAATATTTCAAGACTAAACCACAGTCACTGTTACAAACACGATGACTACAAAACATATTTTAACAAATGCTTCTATTTATAATTTATTCTTAGCAAAAGCTAATAAAAATCTCAATGAAATGAAATAATTTTCATAATGCTTCCCACTCCACACATACACTGTGGAGTTTAGAGAATTTACCTGAAAATTGAAATGGACCAATCAAATTAGAGTAGGGTGATAAATGGAGAATTTAAGGAAAACCAGGCCTCACTAGAAATGAGAATTTCAACCTGAGAAGAGTTCTGGTGAAGTGGGTATGTAGGCGGATGGATGGATGGGAGCGGGAAATAGTGGCAGATATGTCCTATTTTTTGCCAGTCTGGCATCAATGCCCCCCTTCTTCTAACAAATTCATTTGAGGAACCCTCTTCCCCAGCTCTCTGTCCATGTGGCTGAGGGGCAGTGACTTCAGGCCTGAGGGGTGGGTCTGAGTAGCCCTGCCTGGCCAATCAGAATATGAATCATTTCTAGCCATCAGGATTGGTTAAGAGATGGGCACATGACTCAAAAAACAGCCAATGAGAGCCAACTAGTATCTGCTCTGTGACATTCACTAGAACTCTGTTCCAGAAGACATGCTCTCTTCCCAGTAGTAAGGAGCTCTGGTAGCATAGTGGCTAAAGCACTTGACTGCTAACCAGAAGGCTGGCGGTTCAAACCCACCAGCCACTCCTCAGAAGGAAGGTTGGGCAATCCTACTTCCGTAGTGATACTGCCTCGGAAACCCAAGGAGGGGTCGCTATGAGTCGGGGCCGACTCGACGGCACATAACAACAACAACTTCCCAGTAGTGAAGCTTCTCAATGCCTCGGGACATTCCAACTCACAGCAACCCTATAGGTCAGAGTAGAATCACCCCATAGGGTTTCCAAGGCTGTAATCTATATGGAATCAGACTGCCACATCTTTCTCCTGCAGACCAGCTGGCAGGTTAGAACCACCAACCTTCTGGTTAGCAGCTGAACACTAAACATTACACTGCCAGGGCTCCTTGTAGCCATACTAAGCTGATAAAATGACAGCCTGAATCTGCTGGCAACCATCTTGCCACCATAAGAAGAGAGCCTGCCTGAGAAGGAAGTTAATTTTAAGAGATTTTGAAAGTCGAGTGGCTGGTTCTTCTGAGAGGGGTTGGCTCAGGTTTCAGCCCAGCTCCATCTACTCCATTTTGCTGGTCCTGGTTTTTTTAAGACTCTTTGTTCTTATTTCTAGCAGAGTGTAAGTCTGGCATTTCACTACAAGAGGAAGCTCACAAAACTCACCCTATAAGATGTTCTACCATTTGTTCTCCAAAAATCCATCATGTAAACAGCTTGTGACCACCTTGAAACCCCCTTGTAAGACATGATATCCAATCCCCATAATTCACATATATTTCACAAACCGATTATAGCAAAAGCCCTGCTTCCAGACAGCCTGCCCTAAACTACCTTACCTCATCAAGTACTAATCAGAATACTGCACCCTAAAGTTCCCACTCTTGCTATACAAATACAGCCATAGAACTCCAGCCCAGCAGCACTCCAACTTTCACTTTGTGAGAGTCCTGGCTCAAACTGCCTTTTCTCCCAATACATCTCTTGGTTATTTTAAACAGAGCATGCAGGATGACTCTGTGACAGCTCCAAGGAAAGAAGGGTGGGGAGATGGATGAAGAAAGCCTCCTGAAGGGATCTGAGACCTTAGATCCATTCCGGGATCCTAAAGTTACATAAGGTAGTAGAGTCCCTTTTAGGGCTCTTGTTTGTGCTGTCAAGTTGATTCCAACTCATAATGACCCCGTGTAGCAGAGCAGAACTGCCCCTAGGGTTTCCTTTACTATAATATTTATGGGAGCTATACACCCAGTCTTCTTTTCCTGTAGAGTGGCTGGTGGGTTTGAACTGCCAATCCTCCAGTTAGCAGGTAGGTGTTTAACCATTGCACATTAGGGCTCCTTATTAGGGGCTGAGGCGGGTTTAAATTGGGTCTCTGTCATTGGCCCTATTAACAGCCTTAACACAAAGGATCAAAGCATTCTTGTGACACTGTCCTTTAGAGGCTAACCTAATAGAGAAATACTGTGCTAGAACCTAAGGAGCTCTGGTGGTGTAGTGGATAAGGCATCTGGCTGCTAACCAGAAGGTCATTGGTTCAAACCCACCAGCCACTCCATGGAAGGAAGATGGGGAGATCGGCTTCCATAAAGATTTACCACCTTAGAAACCCCACAGGGGTTGCTGTGAGTTGGAACTGACTTAGTGGCAGCGAGTTTGGTTGTTTGGTTTTTGTTCTACAGCATCAAGGCTGTGAAGCAGAGAGGGAACCATTCCAGAAAGAGGGCTGGGAAAGGGGTTAAGTTACATAGATGAGGTTCTTGCTGAAACGCTTGCGGAGGTTGTCCACAAAGGCAGATTCGCTGGTGTACGCGTCCAACAGCACGAAGTCCTGCACGCCGACCTTGTCCCGCGCAGTGAGCGCGCCTTCCATGTGCAGGTGGATGTGTCTCCTCCGGGCCTCTTCTCTCTAGGGAAGAGAACATTCCTCAGGGGCTGTCCACTCCATAACTTCTACTGCACGTCTAATACGGGAATAGCAAGGTGCCAGACCCTGTGGTGGAACAGAGCCAAGATTAAAGGATAGCCTTCTCACTAAGCTCTAGTAGCATAGTACCTAAGGCATCTGACTGCTAAACAGAAGGCTGGCGGTTCAAACCCACCAGTCACTCCTGGGAAGACCGGGCAATCTATTTCCAAAGAGATACTGCCTCGGAAACCCAAGGAGGGGTCGCTGTGAGTCGGATTTGACTTCACGGCAGTGAGTTTAGTTTTAGTTTGGTTCTTTTCATTAAGGTTCCACAACCTGGTTAGGGACACAAGACAGTAATAGCAGCAACATTAGGAGCAGCAGTTGACAAGAACTGAGCGCTCATTGTGCTCTAAACACCATGGTATTTTCAGTCGCCTCATACACATGCGAAAGCTGGACAGTGAATAAGGAAAACTGAAGAAGAGTTGATGCTTTTGAGTTGTGATGTTGCCCAAAATACTGAAAGTACCATGGACTGCCAGAAGAAAGAACAAATCTGTTCTGGAAGAAGTACAGCCGGAATGATCCTTGGAAGCGAGAATGGCCAGACTTCGTCTCACCTACTTTGGTCATGTTGTCAGAAAGGACCATTCCCTGGAGAAGGATGTCATGCTTGGGAAAGTAGAGGGTCAATGACAAAGGGGAAGGCCCTCAACAAGAGGGACTGATCAGTGGCTCCAACAATGGTCTCAGGTGTAGCAAGGGACCAGGCAGTGTTTCGTTCTGTTGGGCATAGGTTCGCTATGAGTTGGAGCCGACTTTATGGCACCACCTAACAGCAACAACACAACAAACACCTGACACATATTATTTTATTTAATCCTCATTTCAACCCTATGACTCAAAAACCCACTGCTGTAAAGTCCATTCCGACTCATAGCAACCTGAAAGGACAAAACAGAACTTCCCCATGTAGTTTCCAAGGCCGTCATCTTTGCAGAAGCTATGTCTTGCTCCTGCAGGGTGGCTGGTGGGTTCAAACCACCAACTTTTCAGTTAGCAGCCAAGTGCCACTCTGTCACCAGGGCTCCTTCAACTCTTTGAAGTAAGTACTATTATCATGCTGTGTAATAAGATATTTTGTCTCATGTAGAGAGATGTCTACCCACCAGCCACTCCTCGGCAGGAAGGTTGTGCAATCTACTTCCATAGTGATACCACCTTGGAAGCCCAAGGAGGGGTCGCTATGAGTCAGGTCTGACTCAATGGCACATAACAACAACAACAAAGAGATGTCTGGTCTTTGTTCCAGATCCTGGGAGATACCCCCTAAACCTTTGGAATTTCTGGAACAATAATGTCTTTCTTATTCATGATGGGCCCCTTAGATCACACCTGATAGTTTACAATAAAGAAGTGACTCATGGTGGGTCCCTGGATAGAGTGTGCTAAGGAGATGACTCAGAATGGGGGCTGGCCATTGGAGAAAGACCCATGATTTATTGGGGGGTTGGGAATTTGAGCTGTGTGGTATCAGCCCAATCCTCACAGAGGAAAGGGGGACTGGAAACTGAATTCAACAACACGGTCAATGATTTAATCAATCGTGCCTATATAATGGAACCTCACATATGATACATAAATTAAGATGGCTCTCAGACCTAAATGCAAACATATAATCTATCAAGATACTAGACAAAAACAGGACTATCTTTGTACCCTGGAGGAAAGCAGAGTTTTCTTAGGACACAGACAAAAGAAAAAAAGAAATTAGATACCATCAAATATAAAACTTCTCATCAGAGGATATTGTTAAGAAAATAAACTACAAGCTACAAGCTGTAAGAAAGTATTAGCAAAATATATACCTGACAAAAAGGTGCTCTGGTGGTGTAGTGGTTAAGGCATTTGGCTACTAACCAAAAGGTCAGTGGCTCAAACCCACCAGCTGCTCCATGGAAGAAATATGGGGCAGTCTGCTTCTGTCAAAGATTTACAGCCTTGGAAACCCAACAGGGGTTGCTATTGATTGGAATTAACTTGATGACAGCAGGTTGTTTTGTTTTACCTGAGAAAAGATTTGTATCCAAAATTTAAAACTCCTACAGGTCAAAAATAAGGAGGCTTGGTGGCACGTCAGTGAAGTACTCAGCTGCTAACCAAAATGAGACAGGCAGCAGTCAGCCTAGCCAGGTCTCACAAGCCTCTGATTCAATATTCTTGGAATAGTTTTGTGGCAGACCACCACATGGCTGCTGGCTACAGAGAACTGCTGGCAATGAACAAACCAGGCCCTTAGGCAAGATAAGAAGCCATATTTCAAAGACCCCACCAACTTGACCATTGTAATATGCTGATGAACCTCAGAGCTGTCCTTCAAGTACCTCAGCAGGTGCCAAGCAAGTGCGGTAATGTTCAACTTGGCCTTCCACCAGAGGCAGTCAAGAACAGGAATCCCTTCCTGGGACTCGAACCAGGGTCCAGAGACATCACACATGACCCATATCCCAGAACAAGTCATGGCAGCACCCTAGCAGGCTTTGTGACGGATTCCATCTTTGTTCCGACAGCCTTTGTGGTGGAATCCATCTTGGCTATCTCCTGCATGTGCATCTGATTTCCATACTCCCACGTTTTTCCCTGGAATCCCCACCTGTTCCTTATTCCTGCCTAAAACTCTTTATAAGCCTTTGTTGGGTGAGAGAGAGGCTGGAGGCAGAAGCCCCTCCCCGTCTCTCCCTTGAGGGCCCCCTTCCCTCTTCTCTCTCTTTAAATAAATTTTGGTTCATGAGGACAATTTGCCGCTCCTGTTCAATTCTTTGTCAGTAGAAGGCAAGGGGGAGCTCTGGTGGGGTAGTGCCTAAGGCACTTGACTGCTAACCAGAAGGCTGGTGGTTCAAATCCACCAGCCACTCTTCAGAAGGTTGGACAATCTACTTCCGTAGTGATATCGCCTCAGAAACCCAAGGAGGGGTCACTATAAGTTGGATCCGACTGGACAGCAATGGGTTGCTTTTGGTTTAGAAGGCAAGGACCCCTGCTCAGGGTCACAGAGACCACTGGTATCAAAAAGATCAGTGGTTCAAACCCATCAGCCGCTCTGCAAGAGAAGACCTGGTGATCTGCTCCAGTAAAGATCACAGACTGAAAACCCTAGGGGGCAGCTCTGTTCTGTCCTATAGGGTCACTATGAGCTGGAGTCGACTCGGTAACACAGCAATAAGAGCTCAGTAATAACGGCAAATCCAATAAAAACTGGGCAGAAGACTTCAATGGACACCTCACAAAGGAAGACGTACAAATGATTGACAAACCCATAGGAAAATGCTTAACATCATTAGACATCAGAGGAATGCAAATCAAAACCACAAGGTTATATACATAACCAAACCCAAATTCACTGTCGTTGAGTCCACTCCAGTTCACAGAGACCGACTTTGGGTTTCTGGGGTGAAAAATCTTTATGCAAGTAGATTGCCCAGTCTTCCTTTCATGGAGTGACTGGTGGGTTTGAACCACCAACCTTCTGGTTAGCAGTCAAATGCATTAGGCACTATGCCACCATACACAACAATTAAACTTAAAAGATTTGACAGCCTCTCTTATTGGTGAGGGTGTGGAGCAACCACAACTCTCAGACGTTGCTGGTGGGAACTGAAGTCACACACTCTGGCCAAAGATCTAGCTGCTTCTTATAAAGTCACTCCATCCTCCTTTGACCCAGCAATTCCATTGTCAGATATTCACATGAAAGGAAATGAAAACATGACTACAAAAAGACAGAAACATGAAGGTATGCTGTTGTGGTTGTCATTAATTGCCATCAAGTCAGTTCCAGTTCATGGTGACCTTATTACAGAACAAAACCTCTCCTGGCCTGAACCACCTTCAGGTCTGTTGGCAGGGTTGAGCCCATTGTTGCAGCTACGTGTCAATCCATCTTTTACATCAACTGCATTCATCCTGGGGGGAAAATACACAAACTGGAAACAAGCCAGATTCCCATCAACAGGAGAACAAACAAACGAACTGTACATCTGTACAATGGAACGGGTACAACAATGACAGAGAAGTAACTTTGGAAACACACAAAGACGTGGGTGACGCACACAGACACGATGCTGAGTGAAAGGTCCTGAGCACAAAGGAGTACGCGCTGTGTGGCTCCATTTATACGACACGCCAGGACAGGCAACGCTAATCGGCAGCAAAACATCACATCAGCTGTTGCCTTGTGGGGAACACTGCATGGCAATGGACATTATTTGAGGATGGAAACGTTCTGTATCTTGATAGAGCTGTGAGTTCCATGGTTGCATTTATTTGCCAAAACCTGTTAAGATGTTGTGTGTTTCGATAAATTTTATTAAAAAGAAAAAGAACTATGAAAATTAATCAAGGGGGAAGGAGTAGAGGAACTCTATCAAACCATCTATCAAGATGGCAGAATGTTTGTAACTGTTGAAGCAGGGGGACAGGTATGGCAGGATTTATTATACTGTTTTGTTTGTTGCTGTCGTGCCAGTCTCTGACTCAAGGCGACTCCATGAACTGCTCTATAGGGTTTTCTTGCTGCAATCTTCTTCTTCTTCTTTTTTTTTTTTCCTTAATTGTGATTTGGGTGAAAGTTTACAGATCAAATTCACTTCCCACACAGCAGTTCACACACACGTTGTTTCATGACATTGACTACAATTTACCCCAATAAAACAGCTCCCTTCCCATTTTCTCCTGATAGTTACCTCTTCTGTGTGTCCATCCCTCCATGCACTCCTGCCCCCTGAGCTGTCTCCCTATGCATGAGCAGCCCTTCTTTCTCCCATGATTGTTCTCTCCAAGTAGTGTATCTACCTCGGGTAAATGTTCAACTCATATGCCTGTCTTTTGTTTGGCTGGAAGCCACAAGTATGGGTTCAATTCCAGACAAGAAGGGCAGCTACGGGCCATAGTCTCAGTGGTTC